CTAGGCCCTTCACCAGCTTCGTTGCCCTCCTCTGCACTCGCCCCAGCACCTCGAGATCTCTCTTGTATTGAGGTGCCCAAAACTGGACACTCCAGGTGTGGCCTCCCCAGTGCCGAGTACAGGGGCACAATCACCTCCTACTTCTGCTGGTCACACTATTTTTGATACAAGCCAGGATGCCATTGGCTTTCTTGCCCCCCTGGGCACAGGCCGGCTCATATTCAGCCGTTTGTCAATGAGAACCCCCAGGTCTCTTTCCTCCAGGCAGCTCCAGCCACACTTCCCCCAGCCTGTAGCGCTGCAGGGGGTTGGTGTGGCCCAAGTGCAGGACCTGGCACTTGCCCTTGTTGAAACTCATGCCGTTGATCTTGGCCCAGGAGCAGAACCCACAGGCAACCAAGGATGGGGCCATCAAGGCAACCAAGGATGGGGCCATCAGTAGCCAGTGGTGCACGTCCCGGACCTTTCCTGCAGTTGGGCTCCTGCAGAGCAAATCTGCGGCATCTTGTGTCTACCCCAACCCGTGCAGCACAATCCCTCCCCCAGGTCACCACCAAACACTCACCAGCTTTTTTCCAGATCTCTTCGGTGACGTAGCCCGTTCCCGAGCGGCTGCTGAACTCCCGCAAGGAATCTGCTGGGAGAAGGGACACGGGGAAAGGTTGGCAGAGCCTCCTCCTGCCCCACCGCTGCTGCCGTGCCTCGGCACATGGCGGGACGGGGCACAACTACCCACCTAAAGCTCAAAGCAGAGGGTTCCTACAGTTAAAGCCATTCATCAACCGCTCAGATGATAAATTACGATGTTTAATTAGTGCCCTGCATAATTTATGACACTGGATAACCCATTTCCATCTCCTGGTACCCTACACCAACAGGCAATGCTTACAAACACATGCCATCGAACATGGCACTGCCCAGTGACGTGGAGCATCCATCTCTGTGTCCAGAAGTTTACATTAAAGGCAGCACTTTCCATCCCCAGGGGTAATTAAAAAAAAAATAATTGATGGACAATCTGTCCTGCAAAGACCTCTCATGGGGAGAGGTGCACAGGCAACCCCTCAGCCTGCAAAAGAGCCTGAGGGACAGACAGGGATGGTCACACGAGGACCCAAACACGGACTGGGGGAAGCTTTTCAGAAGCCTGGTCCCGTGTTTCTCTCTGCCCACCTTATTTTAAGGCTTCGGAGTAACTTTCTGAAGGGTCAACCCAAAATTTCTCTCTGCCCACCTTATTTTAAGGCTTCAGAGTAACTTTCTGAAGGGTCAACCCAAAAACTGATTCATGGCAAAGGCTGGAAGGAGGAGCAAAGCGCCCTGGAAGGCGGGGAGGGTTATTCCAGCCCCTGCCACATCTGGGGATGCTCCTTGATAATTAGCCCTTGGTCCTACGAGGGAAGAAAGCACCAACAACGTTCCCAATTTATTAAAAAAAATTAAAATAATTACATTATATCACCTTTGCCATGGGGCTGGGAGTATTTTAGTCACTTAAATATAGAAGAGCTAAGAGCTGGCGGTGTCCCTCAGGTTGTCACACCCCCAGCCCCCCATGGGCTCACCCCACGCCGCTCTGGGGCCATGGGGGCTCTGCTCCCGAGAGACTCAGATTAAAATAGTCTATTTTAATTCCTTCTGCTCCCGTACTTGTTACTGTTTTCCCAGGAAATGCTCGTTCTCACTGACTGGGAACTATCAAAACTTGTTCAATGGCAGCTGAATCTGGGCTGGGCTCTGCCTCGGATGGTTCTTTTTGACACATGGGAGGGTTAACTCTTTATTTTGCCCACAAACAAGCTGGATATACATAAAATGGAGAATTTTAGTTTGACGTTTATTATTATTGTTAAAAAATGTCCACCTTCATTACTGAATGATCAGCGTTCTGGTACTTTTTTTTTTTTTTTTTCCCCAACATTTGATTTGCAGGGAATTTATTTGGATGGGAACTCAAATGACACCCAAAGGCATAAAATCAACATTTCAGAATTGTTTTCTCTTAAAGGGTTGAAACCTGTGCGTGCCAGAGGGGAAAAAAACATCAGTCTTCATAAAGTTAAGTTGACTCATGATTCAAAAATAGAACGAATAACTCAGGTAGCAGCTCTTACACTTAGAGCAGTCTCCACTATTTTTAGAATTAGACCTCGACATTTAGACTCCTTCAGGCAAGACAAACTGGAAGGGGCAGAGAAGGGGGGAACCAACCACTTCTCCTGCCTTTTCACCCCCCATTTTCTCAGCTTTGGATGAGCTTGGTGGGGTTTGGGCAGGAGGTATGGCTCGGTGACAGGGGAGATGCTCCTCTCCTGCCACCAGCAGAAGGTGCTGCTGCTGCCCAGAGGTGCCCTCAAACGCTGCTTCCAGGAGCTCAGCCAGCTCCTGTCCTGTGACCTGTCTCTCTCAAAAGCTTTGAGAGCAGTAATGAGCTGCTGAAGTATGGAATTTATAATTTGAAAATATTATCATAGAATTGCCGAGGTTGGAAGGGACCTTTCAGCTCATCGAGTCCAACCATCAACCATCAACCCAACGCTGACACAAACCAGCACTAACCCATGTCCCTCAGCACCCCCTTTCAGCTCATTGAGTCCAACCATCCAACCATCAACCCAACGCTGACACAAACCAGCACTAACCCATGTCCCTCAGCACCCCCTTTCAGCTCATCGAGTCCATCCATCAACCTAATGCTGACACAAACCAGCACTAACCCATGTCCCTCAGCACCACATTTCAGATTGAGTCCAACCATCCAACCATCAACCCAACGCTGACACAAACCAGCACTAACCCATGTCCCTCAGCACCACGTCCACCCTCCAGGGACGGTGACTCCACCACTGCCCTGGGCAGCCTCTTCAGATGCTTAATATCCTTTCAGTGTAAAAATTTTCCCCAATCTCCATCCTAAACCTCCCCTGGCACAACTTGAGGCCGTTTCCTCTTGTCCCATGGCCTGTTCCTTGGGAGAAGAGACCGACCCCCCCTGGCTACACCCTCCTTTCAGGGAGTTGGAGAGAGCGAGAAGGTCTCCCCTCAGCCTCCTTTTCTCCAGGCTGAACACCCTCAGCCGCTCCTCACATCGCTTTATGCCTAAAATAGCTTTCTGGTCATTAAACACCCATTTCAGAAGGTCCTGTTGTCCCAGCTGGTGTCCCCCCACCACCCCCTGGCTCACCGCTGCCGATGGAGTCGGAGCTGCCGGGGCTGTGCTGCCGGGAGATGAGGTCTCCTCCCGCCTTCCGCGGCTCGGCCGTCTCGCTGCACCGACGCTTCCAGTAGTTGAGCTCTTCCCGATCGGCCTCCTGACAGCGCCGCAGCACCGCCATCGAGCGCCGCGTCTTCTCCACCATCTCCATGATGCAGTTCAGAGCCTGCAGGGAGGAGGAGGAGGAAGAAGGCGTCCTCTCAGTCTCGCTGCCCGCTCAATGAGGTCACCTCCCAAATTTCTCGTCAGGGACCATCCCAGGAAGATGAAACGTGAGGTCGCTTCCCAGGAACAGGCTCTGGGCAGGGGATGTTGGGTGATGTGGTGCTCAGGGAGGTGGGTGGGATTGGGACCGGACCCACACGTGCGGCAGCGATGCTGAGCAGCACCACCTGGAAGGAGGTGATGACACCTGCACCATGGGGCTTTGGTCACCGTAGGAGGTTTAGGGCTGCTCTTCTAAAGGTGGAGGTGAAAAAAACCCACTTTCCTATGGCAATAGAGCGTCCACAAAAGGCCTGGCTGTGGTCCTGGTACTAGCTCTCCACAACCACATCCCACCTCTACTCCCCAGCCCCCTGACCATCACTTTTGGAGCAGAAGCCAGCGCGGGATCTCACTGCGTTTGTGTCAAAGTGGAATTTTCATCCCATCTCTCTGCAGGAAACACTCCAGTGAAGTGCTTGGATGAAAAGCCTTGCTTAGAGGGAAAAACCAGACACTCTGCCAGGAGCACCACATCTTGCTGGTGGTACCTCGTTGAGGCTCATAAGAGGTTGACAGCCCAAGAAAAAAACAGTCTTTACAAAATAATGATGCGTTCACTGATTCTGTAACCTCCACATCCTGGCTGCACGTAACACGTCTGCAGGCTCATCGGGCCACCACTGGCCTGGGCTGCTGCAGAAAAGACCCGTGTGGTGCCAAGGTTGGGTTTGGTTGCTCATGGCCATGCTCTGCAGGAGAAGCTCCCTGGCTCCAGAGGGATTTTGGCTTCCACTGACCATGGGCAGAGAAAACCTGCCAGGAAAGTGCTACTGCTCCTTCCTGTCCTCCCCACCAGCTACCTTCTTGTGGTGGCTTGTTCCTCTACAAGGGGCTTTGGTCACCGTAGGAGGTTTGGGACTGCACTTCTAAAGGTGGAGGTGAAAAAAACCCACTCTTCTATAGGAACAGGGTGTCCATCCAAGGGCTGGCAGCAGTTCTGGTGCCAGCTCTCCATAGCCACATCCCACCTCTACTCCCCAGCCCCCTGACCATCAGTTTGTTCCTCTATAAGCCACCAGGAAAGAAAATAATGAACTAGGGCAGGAAGAGCACTGGGCTGCTCCATCCCATAGAGCTTCCCACCACCTCCAGCCACTCCTTACGTGATCCAGATGCTTCCACTCGTCAGCCCACTCTCTCTCCGTTAAGCGGTGGTCCACCAGCTCGTCCTGGTATCCTCCATTCAAACCTGCAACAAACCACAGCCAGAAGAAGAGTGATGAGACGGAGCGATGGCTCTCAGTGCTGGAGAGGGAAGGTGGCCCCAGAGCAATAACAAAGAGCTTTATTTCCAGCTATGTACAGCTGGGAGGTCAAAACTCATTTCAAGGAGGAGGCTCTACAGGGGCAATTCCCAACTGGTGGTTTATCTCTGTCCATGTTGCTGCCTCAGAAGTGCCACCATCCACTCCTGGGTCTGGGTCTGACCTGCCTGGGCAGCTGGGGCCCTTCTTATGCACCCCCAGGAGCTCAGAGCTTGTGATTCAGATTGCCCAGTTGGAAACACAGCGTACACCTCCCACACACCCTTCGAGAGAACTGGGACGGGGCAGGCTCTGCTCTGTGCATTCCAAGAGACCTTGGAAAGGTTAATTTCCACTTCCCTGCCCTCACTCTTGTCTGCTGGGTTGGCCTTATTCAACTCATTCACTGGCTACTTCCTCATCATCCTCGGTGGCCCCAGCCTTTACATGTATCCAGGGAAATACAAACTCTCAATCTTCCCATTTTTAACCTCCCACCGTCACTTGTTTTTTCCCTGAATTCCCTGCAAAAATTCCCAGTGTTACACAGCTTTGGGTGCCAGTAGCCAAGAGGGACCAGTGCCACAGCTCAGCTGCTGGACCTCCCAGCTCCTCCTACTACAAAGCCCTCCAGGCTCTCTCACCGAGACTGCTGTGCCTGTCCCGAATCTCTCTGTGCTCCAACATCTTGCTGGGGTCCCTGTAGAGGTGGGAGGTGGCGATATCTTCCAAGGTGTAGTGCTGGAGGGGTGGTGGGGTGGGGTGGAACTGCCCCCCAGGGTTCATCAGGGGGATGGTGAGGGCAGGGCTGTGCCGGGGTGCGGGGCTGATGGTGCACACCCTCTTGGCTGGAGGCTCTGTTGGCAGCGACTCCCTCTCAAAGCTGTTCTCTTCCCTCCTGCAACCACACCAGCAGAGAGATGTATTCCTTAGCACCACATAAACATCCTCAGAAAGGGAAAAAATGCAGGTTTCGAAACAGTAGAGTTTGGGTAGCGATGATTTTATCAGGGAGCTAACCCAAACATGCTCAACTTGGGATCAAATCCACAAAACGACCCCGTCAAAGTAAAAAGTTCAAGACGCCCAAATGCTGTGATTCATTTTCCTGAGCATGACCAAATTAAAATTTCACAGTTTCTATGAATTGGAGGCATGTTCCACATAATTACATCACGACTTTTAACTGGGAATAAAAAGCAGTGAAAATGAACCGCATCCTTCCCAGCCCTGACAGCGCCTCTGCTCAACGCCTGGGGAGGTGGAGAACCAGGTTCTCCAGCTCAGGCTTTTCAGTGCTTCCCAAAAAGTCCCTCTGGGACAGAACTTGCCTGAGAGAGGATCCCAACCTGAACCAACAGTGCGGGAGGAGCAATCACAAAATCATAGAGTGGTTTGGGTTGGAAGGGAGTGTAAAGTTCATCCAGTCCCACCCCCTGCCCTGGGCAGGGACACCACCCACCACACCAGGTTGCTCCAAGCCCCCTCCAACCTGGCCTTGAACCCCTCCAGGGATGGGGCAGCCACAGCTTCTCTGGGCAACCTGGGCCAGGCTCTCACCACCCTCACAGCAAAGAAGTTCTCCCTCATATCTCATCTCAATCTCCCCTCTTTCAGTGTCAAACCCTTTCCCCTCCTCCTAGGGCTCCCCTCCCTGATCCAGAGTCCCTCCCCATCTCTCCTGGAGCCCCTTTAGGGACTGGAAGGAGCTCTAAGGTCTCCCCAGAGCCTTCTCTTCTCCAGGCTGAACCCCCCCAACTCTCTCAGCCCCCCCTCCCAGCAGAGGGGTTCCAGCCCTCCCAGCGTCTCCGTGGCCTCCTCTGGCCCCACTCCAACAGATCCATGTCCTTCTGATGCTGGTGGCCCCAGAGCTGGAGGAAGAACTGAAGAGGGGGGTGTCTCCCCAGAGTGGGGCAGATTCCTCCCCCTCACCCTGCTGGCCACGCTTCAGTGTCTTATTAAGAGGCAGAACAGTTGTTGGGAGTGATAAGATCCTACAGTTGAAGCCCTGGATGCCGCTGGAAGCTTTTGAGAGCAGAGAAGTCGAAACAGAAGTCATGACTTTGGGCAGTTGGCAGGGGGACAGAAGAAGCTGGTGGTACCTGTCCGGACTGTGCCTTTTGCCGTTCCCGTTCACCTCGATGAGCAGCTCGGAGGAGTCTGCAGGGGACGTGGTGTTGGTGTTCAGCAGGATGTGCTCGTGCTGGGCCAGGTACTGGGAGGGCGTCTGCTTGGCGGCGCGGGCGCAGTGCAGCAGCTCCCTCTGCAGCAGCGGCAGGTTGGCCTGGAGAAGAAGCGTGGGGCTGGCTCAGGCAGGCTGCAGGCAGCACTTTCTGGCCATTTCCAGCAGGTTTGCTCTAATTTTAAGCCCTCAGAGTGGTGACACCTAGACCCCGTGCCACCCCACCGCGGGATCCTCCAGCTTCTTGGTCTCTGCACTGTCAGGTTTATCTGGATTTTCTCAGGAGCTAGGGATGTTCTGCCATTCGTGCACCCAAACCCCAAGTATCTCAGATGCTGGAAGGGCAGAGCGCTCCTCTACCACCCCAGACATGGTCCCTGTGCCAACGTCTCAACTATTCTAGACCTGAACATCTGCAAGTAAGATCAGAGGATCCAAAGCTGCTGAACAGACCTTGGTTTGTCTCCTTCACCCCTAACGTACAACCAGACGTAGGTGGCACTCGTTAAAACGTTGGCTTTCCTCAAGCCAGGCCCCACGTGGCCACCGCTACGGGCTGGGCAGTGTGTCCTGGACTTCAACAAAACCTCTGTAGGGCTGGAAGCGAGAGCTTTGCCGGCAGAACCCAGCACCTGGAGCCCCCCCACCCCCCTCACCTTCAGAAAGGGGATCACGAACGGCCGCAGGGGGAAGTTGGTCGCCTCCTGCAGCTTGCAGTGAAACTCCTCGATTGTCACCGTCGAGTTCTGGGGAAAGAAATGAAGAAATGAAATGAAACAACAAGTTTGTTCTTATTTTCAGGGAACCAGCTCCAAAAGAACAGAACTGGAAGGGAGACTGCATCTGCCACTGCAGGGCTGACAACGTTTGCACGGGATCCTGCCTAATGCAGCCAAAAAGACTCAGGCCAACGGAGCAGAAAGGCTGCACCAGGCCAGGGGTGAAGGCTGTGCACAGGCACTGCCAGCACAGCAGCCTCCCAGTCCCAACCAGCTCCAGGAGGCAGCAGGACCCAGCCAGCATCTCCTGAACCCTGGGCCAGGTGGCCTGGGACAGGCTGTGGGAAGCCAGATGGTGATTCCAGCTGCCCAGAGCTACACGTCGTCTTCTCCTCCTTCCTCCCTAAGCCAGGTTGCTGAGCAATAATGTGAGAGCAGAGAAGCACTAAGGGCTTTCCAGACCCAGTTCCCCACCAGCACCTCTGTTTTTCTCCATTACCCCTGTTCTTCACCCAGTCCCGACACGCTGAAGCCAGAGCAGCGCTAACGAAGCGGTGCCTGGAACCAGCATTTCTTTGTAAATTGATAGGGGCTGGGAAATCCCAAATTATCACCAGCAAGAAAACATCTCCCTAAGACAAAACTACAGGCTGCTCTGAATTGTGTGAAAAGTTTCATTTTAGGGGAAATGAAGAAGCCCAGCAGAGCCCATGGCTTCCAGCACAGCCCATGGCACCAGACCAGTGGCCTTTAGAGAAAAGCTTAGTCCAAACCCTTCCAGGTTTTCCAAAGTTCAGCTGCGCCCAAGCTCACGCCAAAGCTTTTTGAATACGTGAAAAAAAAAATAAAAATAAAAGTCAGCAAGTTTAGCTGAAAACATGAGACACCAAAGCTTTTTGAATACGTGAAAAAAAAAAATAAATAAAAAAAAAAAGTCAGCAAGTTTAGCTGAAAACATGGGACGTTACAGAGTCTTCCTCAGTCAACAGCTCTGCTTCTGAAGACGTAAACAGCTAATGTTGTGTAAGATGGGCATGGGCTGGCTGCCAGCATCCCAGCATCTCGGTGCCAAAGTGCTCCAGCAAAAGCAAAGCAGGGCCAGGGAGCAGGACCTACCACCAACGCCAGGACGAGGGTCCGGACCTTCTCCCCAATCTCTGGTGAGATGTCGTTGCCGAACTGCTGGAGGGTAGTGAGGAAGCGCTTGAGCTTGCTGAGCTGCCGGGCACCGCACGTGGCCGGGAGCTGCTGGTTGGTCAGCGAGGAGGAAGAGGAGGAGGAAGGCCCGTTGCTAAACCGCTGGGGTGGGGATGGTGCCCCGTTCAGAGTCGGGGGGGAATGGTTTATTCCGTTGGGCACTGCAAACGGGAGACAGAAGCGTTACTGAGCATCGCGTGGGCACGTCCCTGCAGGTTAAGAGGATCCATCTTCCCAAGATCTATCCACCCAAGAGCCTGTGCCTGGTGGTTAATTGCTGCTAGAATCACAGAATGAACAATATGGGGATGGAAGGGACCTCTGGAGATCATCCAGTCCAACCCCCTGCCAGAGCAGGGTCACCCAGAGCAGGCCCCACAGGAACGTGTCCAGGTGGGGTTTGAATGTCTCCAGAGAAGGAGACCCCACCACCTCTCTGGGCAGCCTCTGCCAGGGCTCTGCCACCCTCACAGGAAGGAAGTTCCTCCTCATGTTTAGATGGAACTTCCTGTGTTATAGTTTGTGCCCGTTCCCTCTTCTCCTGTCCCTGGGCACCACTGAAAAAAGCCTGGCCCCATCCTCCTGACACCCACCCTTTCAGTATTTATAGGCGTTGGTCAGAAGGTACGGGCATTGACAGAGAACAGGGCAAAAGTCAGAAATGGGGCTATGGGCAGCACCAGGGGCACCCAGCCATGGAGCTGGTTGGAGCCACACGTGTGTCTTCTCCTTGACCTTCCCATGTGCTACCAGGATGCTCTGCAGCCCCCAGCACACGAGAACCACCCATCCAGCCAAGGTGTTCCTCAGAGCATCGCTCAGCTGTGATTTACACCGCAGCCGGTCACTTCCTTGGCATTCCTCTCCTCCGCTCGGCAAGTTTCGTTTCCAGGGCCACCAAAGAGGGGCAGAACCTGGGCTCAGCAGAGCAGGGCCACCTCCACTGGCACTCGGGGCAGCCCAGGAGGACAGGGGGTCAGGCTGCACAAAGCTGGTGCCGCAGCAGATTGAGTGGTGCTGTTTGCTCAGCCCCAGGAATGAAATGTGCTTTAGCTCAAAGTTCCGAGCAGCGTTTTCTGGACTGCACCAGGCACAAAAACCACCCCAAGATGATCTGAGGATCCATCCCAGCCCTGTCATTTCCAACAAGTCATCAGTGCTCCTTACAGCCGGGGTGCCGGGAGCAGACCCCGCGGGCTCAGGTGCCTCCTCCTCGCCCTGAAGAGACCCCACAGAATCCTGCCCCACGGCCCTCGCCCGCCCAAACCTCCCCGGGGATTTACAGCGAGTTTCGCAAACGCGGTTGTTTTTTCCAACCTGGTCCCATCTGCAGCTTTGCCTCCCGTAAGGGGCGAGGGCATCAAAGCAGACTGAAGGGCTGGAAGTTCGGGAACTCGGCAAGGGATTAGAATAAATTGTTGACATCCCCGCGCCGCCGTTGTGCAATCTCCAGCCCCATCTGACCAGCAGCTGTGAGCCGGGGGCCCCAACTCGCTACAAACCCGGAATTTCGAGAGGTGAAAAGTACATCATCGTAAATACAGTCTGAGCTGATCCACTGGGTTATCCTTAAAAGCCCTGCCCTGAGCCCCTCGTGGATGTAGGCGCTGAGGAGAAGGCCATGAGCCATAGATCCTATTCCAAAGGGTGGCATTCAGAGAAGAAGCAGGGAAGGCACCCGGCAGAGGTGCTGCTCGCACGCAGGGGGTGGTGCCTGACAGGATGGAGCAGCAACTTTGTGAAAAGAGATGCCAAAATTTCTGCCACAACTTCACAAGGATCACACCAAATCCTCACAGCTCTGCTGAGGGGTTTTTCGGAGAAGGCGGGAGGTACCCGAGCAGTTAAACCGCTCCGGGACACACCAGGGTCAGAGGCTGGAAAGGCTTCATGCACCTGGACCTGCCGTGGTGAGCACAGGAGGGAAGCTGAGAAGATCAACCCAAGTCAGTTGAGATGCAAGGGAAAGATAAGGCCAGAGAGACCACCAAAGGCTGCTAACCAGGGGTGACAGGCTCTTCTGGGGTATGACAAAGACGTGTCCTTTTGTAGGCAGAGAGATGATGAAATGAAGGCAAAGGCTGGGATTGAGAGGATGGAGGTGCAAAGGCAAAGCCAGCTCATGCCTTTTCATAGAATCATAGAATGGTCCCGGCTGGAAGGGACCTCCAAAGGTCATCTAGTCCAACCCTCCCACAGTCAGCAGGGACACCCCCAACTAGACCAGGTTGCCCAGGGCCTCGTCGAGTCTCACGGGATGGGGCCTCAACCACCTCCCTGGGCAACCTGTTCCAGTGCTCCACCACCCTCACAGTAAAGAACTTTTTCCTCATCTCCAATCTAAATCTGCCCTTTCCCAACTTAAAGCCATTGCCCCTCGTCCTGTCACTGCAGGCCTTTCTAAACAGGCTCTCCCCAGCCTTCCTGTAGGCTCCCTTCAGGTACTGGAAGGCCGCTATTAGGTCTCCCCGGAGCCTCCTCTTCTCCAGGCTGAACAACCCCAGCTCCCTCAGCCTGTCCTCGTAGCAGAGGTGCTCCAACCCCCTGATCATCCTTGTGGCCCTCCTCTGGACCTGCTCCATCAGGTCCATGCCCTTCCTGTATTGAGGGCTCCAGACCTGCACACAGCACTCCAGGTGAGGTCTCACCAGAGCAGAGTAAAGCAGAAGAATCACCTCTCTGGACCTGCTGGCAACGCTTCTTTTGATGCAGCCCAGGATGAGATTGGCCTTTTGGGCTGCAAGTGCCCACTGCCTGCTCATGTCCAGCTTCTCATCCATCAGCACCCCCAAGTCCCTTTCCCTTTTGTTAGGGAGCAACAGAACCTGGAAAACTCCTGTCCACACCGGCTTCCCTGAGACAACAAGGGGACAGAGATGCCACAGAATCCTAGAATGGTTTGGGTTGGAAGGGACCTTAAAGACCATCGAGATTTATACCCCTGCCCTGGGAAGGGACATCTCCCATTAGACCCATTAGCAGGGTTAGCTACCACGGAGCACCAGCAAAGGTAGAGCTATGTGAAAGGCAAGGCTTCTGGCAATGACTCACAAAGAGCATTTATTTCACCATAAAAGTGTTATAAAGAGGGGGGAGAGCCGTGGAGAGGAGCTGCTCTCAGGCAGCAGGAGCTCCTCTCCACACTCGCCAGCAGCCGCTTCGCCCCTTTCTCTATTTCGCTTCCTCTTACTCTTTCAAAGAAAAGACCAGAGGGAGCAACGGGCTCTATTTATACCCCGGGGAGAGGCAGGGGCTGCGTCACCCACCTGGGGGCTGGGGGGGGACCCTGGGGAGAGGCTGCCGAGGAGGGGAGCGGGGGACGTTGCTGGGTTGGGGTGATGCCACGGAAGCGGGGCTGCCGTTAGACACAGCCCCCGTATCTGCTGGCTGCGTTTTCGGGTACCCCCCGCCTGACATACACACACACACCCCCCCACACGCACCCCCTGCCTTTCCTCTGCCACCAACGGTGTCACCATGAAGCGGCTGGCAGTTATCAGATCCTGCACAGCACCAAAAGCCACGGCGCCGGGCTGGGACCTCCGCTTCCAGGTGAGAAGACAGCGATGGAGCAAGCGAAGCGGCGCCCCGAGACCAGCGCTTTGGGGAGAGGAGGGTGGGAATATAATCCCTGGGAATATAAAGTCACCATCGAGGGCTGCTCTGTTAAATTCTGCCCCTCAATAGTCAAAGGCTTCTGCTGGTTCTCCAGCCCTTTTGTTAAGCGACCCCCAAGCAGGCACAGCCTTCTTCCAGCACGCTCCTCCTCGCCACGGGCTTTTACAAGGCAGGGCACACACCCCCCAGCTCTGACCGAGAGCTTTTGGCACAACGAGAAATATATAAAAAAAAAAAAAACAAAAACAAAAAAAGCAAGAATGAACTTCATCACAGGTCACATCTCTCATTCTCTCTTGGAAAGAGACAATTAAGCCATTTGCAATTGGGAGATTCAGGCTCCTCGGCCCTTCGCAGCGTGCCAAACAACCTCATTGGCAAAATTAATTTCTGTCACTTTGCTAATGGTCTTTTTCTGCCCGAGCAAAAGGAGAGCCATTAAACACCCCTCAACGCATTAAGACGGGGACAACGTGTCTGGCGGGATCACCCGGCGATGAGCGCGGCTGCCAGCGCCACGCAATCCATCAGCACGGGTCCTCAGAGAGGCTGGGCTGGAAATCTCCAAATCCCACTACCAGCATCAAACTCTGAGATATCCCAGACACCCCCGTGGACAGCAAAGCAAAGCACAACCGTCCAGAGAGATGCTCAAGTTGGGGGGAAAAGGGGTGAGGAGAGCCTGGAAAAGACGGGAGCCTGGAAAAGACGGACTTGCCACATGCTGGGGCCAGATAACTCCAAGCCCAACAAAGCAGAGCAGCTTTGCTCCGGAATAACGCTTTTAAAAAGACATTACATGGCTGAAATGTTGGCTAAAGGAGAAAAAAAGGCCTTTGTAGGCTATAAGAAAAGGCTGTAGGTCCATCCTGTCTGTGGAGTCAGCCCTGAGCAACATCCTGGGAGGCTGTGCCAGGATCTACTGCGGCTGCCGAGCAAAGATTCTAAAGCAAAGATGGAGAAAAGAGAAGCTGGATGGAGAGCGAGGAGTTTCTGAAGCTGAGAAATTAAAAAAAAAAAAAGGAAAGGAAAAAACTTCCTAATCTCAGCTGCGGAAACTGTCTGCAAAGTGAGATACAGCAGAGCGGGAATTAACTCCTCCAAAAGATACAGTGAAAAGCTCTTGGCTTTTTTGAGGCCGGGCTGATAACGGACTTCAATTTCTGAAGGAGTTTATGGGGGCTGCAGCTGTGAGGAGAAGGACTCGAGGCAGCAGTGGGGGCAAGGTAGGAGCAGGCAGGGGAAGGGGGGGATGACAGATTATAGACCCCGTTATACGTCCTGCATACGCAGCAGAACAGCAAGAAAGTCCCCATCTCCCCTCCCTGAGGGGAGTAGCCACAGCGTGGCTACTGCTCACCATGCCCAGGCAGCCCTGGCTGAGACACCCCTGCTGACTTCTACAAGCAGAGCATTCATAGGATCATACAATGGTTTGGGTTGGAAGGGGCCTTAAAGACCATCCAGTGCCACCCCCTGCCCTGGGCAGGGACACCTCCCACCACACCAGGTTGCTCCAAGCCCCCTCCAACCTGGCCTTGAACCCCTCCAGGGATGGGGCAGCCACAGCTTCTCTGGGCAACCTGGGCCAGGCTCTCACCACCCTCACAGCAAACAAGTTCTTCCCCACATCTCATCTAAGTCTCCCCTCTTTCAGTTAAAAAGCATTCCCCCTTGTCCCATGGCTCCCCTCCTTGATCCAGAGTCCCTCCCCATCTCTCCTGGAGCCCCTTCAGGACCTGGAAGGGGCTCTAAGGTCTCCCCGGAGCCTTCTCTTCTCCAGGCTGAACCCCCCCAACTCTCTCAGCCCCCCCTCCCAGCAGAGGGGCTCCAGCCCAGAACTCAAGCTCCTCCTGGTAATAGCTGGTCCCAGGGAAAAGCTCGTTACTGGGGTCTTACGTGCAGTCGGGGTGAAGGACACTGGGCGGGGGCCGCCGGGGTTGACGGGGGGCAGTGGTGGCATGTTGGGAGGAGAGGACCTGGACTGAATCTTCACTTCCACGGGCGATCCGGGCATCACTGGCACCCTCTTCTCACCAGCAACTGTAGGAAGAGAAGGAGGTAAAGCTTAGTGACAGTCACAGACAAGCATTTCACCACCTGGAACACAAAATTACCAGGGTGAAGATGAGAGGTGGTGGTGGAGAAGCCATGCAAGGCTTTCCCATGCACGACCCTAGGGAAGAGGCAGGGTCCGGCCCCGAGCTGGGGGGCAGACACCTGGGGGGGAGGCAGGGGAGCAGCAGTGTCCCAGGCGGGTTCAAGATGCCCATCTTCACCATCTCAGTCCCTCCACTGCATCTTCCCAGCCCTGACACGTGAAGAAGCTTCCTCAAAGTATTTTCTGCCTGTTTTGCTTTGCTTTCTCCCCCTGCCCCAAGATCCCCTCGGCACACCCCAGATGTGCCCACACGCACCTCACTGGTGTGCACTGGGTGGCACTGGGGAGGGGGGGCAGGGAAGATGCTGAGGCTTCACCCCCAGCCCTGCTCCCCTACCAGCAAAAACAAGCTCCAAAGCGGCCGCTTTGGCAAACAGCTCTCTGGTTGGTTTTGTAGGTTTGCTTTTTAGACAAAAACCCTCACAAATTAAATGCTCCTGCACCTCCTCTTGCACCAGGGGGGTTGTGTGTGTGTGTGTGTGTGTGTGTGTGTGTCCCCTCGCTGCCCAGCGCAGCCTCGTGCACACACACAGCCTGGCACAGACCCTCCTTCATGCTACCAGGCAGCAGATTGGAACTAGATGGTCTTTAAGGTCCCTCCCAACCCACACCATTGTGATTCCAGGATGCCAGGTGACACAGAGCCCCTGTGAAATTGTCATTTTTCAGCCGTGCCCGCTTCGGGCCACCGTGCTGCGTGGCGATGCTCTCCTGTGTGCGAGTCCTGTGCCCAAGGCAGTGTGCTTGGTTGCCATCCTGAAGCTCCAGCAGATTTTTCTGCTCCCCAAAAGCCAACAACTACCTGAGGAAATTCACTGGGTTGAAGCCTGACTTGCACTTCCCTCCCCATCCCTCAAGCCGGGGTACAGATGGGTGCACTGGGAACCCATTGGTGTTCCCGCATGGGGATGTGCTGGAGCGCGGTTGCAACTCGTTAGGGAGCTAATTGACCGAGGGTGATTCACCTCGTTTCACACCATCTCGGGCCAGCAGGCAGCCAGGGTCCAGAGCCACCAGCGTGGAGCACCCCTGGGGTGGTGGTGGTGGTTCCCATGGGAGCTGCATTTCTGGAGATGTTTTGGCTTTGTCTGCTGAGCTGTCTGGTTTCAAAAAAACAAACCAAAAACAAACCCTGGAGAAAAAAATCCCCCAAAACCCCCAACACTTGCATAAACACGTATTTCCTCCTTTTCTCTTGTTTTCCCCTGAGGATGCCTTTTGAGGCTGATTTCAGCCAAACTGGAGCCAGGAGCACAGCTGCAACATTCAGCTGAGCTGGGACATCCCACCAGAGACTGGGTCCTCAGTAGGGACCCTCAGAGGCTGAAACAGAAGCTGTGGTGTGAGCTGGTGGTGTACTAGACACTAGAGACTCCACACAGAAGAGAGGATGTAAATATCCGATGTTGGCTCATTTTTACAACCAATTATAGAATGGTTTGAATTGGAAGGGATCTTAAAGACCATCTATTTCCTCCCACCTGCCCTGGGCAGGGACACCTCCCACCACACCACGTTGCTCCAAGCCCCCTCCAACCTGGCCTTGAACCCCTCCAGGGATGGGGCAGCCACAGCTTCTCTGGGCAACCTGGGCCAGGCTCTCACCAACCTCACACCAAACAAGTTCTTCCCCACATCTCAGCTCAATCTCCCCCCTTTCAGTGTCAAACCCTTCTCCCTCCTCCTAGGGCTCCCCTCCCTGATCCAGAGTCCCTCCCCATCTCTCCTGGAGCCCCCTGAGGGACTGGAAGGGGCTCCAAGGTCTCCCCAGAGCCTTCTCTTCTCCAGGCTGAACCCCCCCAACTCTCTCAGCCCCCCCTCCCAACAGAGGGGCTCCAGCCCTCCCAGCATCTCCGTGGCCTCCTCTGTCCCTCCTCCAACAGCTCCATGTCCTTCTGCTGTTGGTGGCGCCAGAGCTGGAGGCAGCACTGGGGGGAGGTCCCCCCAGAGCGGAGCAGAGGGGCAGAATCCCCCCCCCTCCCTGCTGGCCACGGGGCTGGGGATGCAGCCTGGGATGTGGGGGCTTTCTGGGCTGCAGGCACACATTGCCAAGTAGTATCCAGCTTTTCATCCACCAACACCTCCAAGTCCCTCTCCTCAGGGCTGCTCTCCATCTCTTCACCCCCAAGCGTGTGCTGATACCGGGGGTTGCCCCAACTCAGGTGCAGAACCTTGCACTTGGCCTGGTTGAACTTCATGAAGTTCACATAGGCCCCACCTCTCAAGGCTGTCCAGGTCCCTCTGGATGGCATCCTGTCTCTCAGATGGGTCATCCACCCCCACTCAGCTTGGTGTCACCAGCAAACTTGCTGAGGGTGCACTCCATCCCACTGTCCATGTCAGTACTGGTCCCAATACAGACCCCTAATCAGTCCTGAGGACCACTCCTGAGGATCACTCCTGATGTCTCATTAGTCCACCGTAGACAAGTATTAAAGCACATGCCGTAATCTAAACAAATCAGTTCACAATCTACTTTGTAATCCACGGTTTTTACAAATATCTATCAGCTGCAAGAAATTCAGCTCCCAAGATCTGGCAAAGCCATCGAAACGCCGTGTTCCCGTACCGCAGGGAAGCACCCAAGAGATGGCACAGCTCCGCACGGAAACACAACCCCAAAACCTGCTCCTGACAACACAGATGCTGCTTCCCAGAGCAGAGAAGAGGGGAACTGGCACCTTGGAGCTTGCTGGCCCAGAGGCTGCTCCGTGAGCCCCCGCCACCAGCTCTGCCTCCCCTGCTCCAGGCACGAGCTGGCTCATTTATTGTCCTTCTGGCCAGGCATCGTTAACGCCAGCCAGGTAACACGTGAAGTTTCTAATTCCTAGCACTATTTTTTTCTTTTGCTGCTTGCAGGATGATCTGCAGAAGAGGCAGCAGAGCGGAATACATGCTGAAAAACCATGTTTTCCTGCCATTTCAGCGCAGCTGGGACAACCAAGGCTGGACTCACTATAAAACCTGTGTCCGTGATATTTCCATGTCAGGCAGAAAGTTTTGGCTTTATTTATTTAAACCCGCTTTCAAAAAAAATTTAAAAATTCTAGGCTTTGCTTTCATGAACAAAGTGGGGACCCACCAAACACATTATGAATTTTAACATATAATAACCGTAACGTAATATTGTTAACTACTTCTCACATACATTTAGTCCAACTTCCCTATGATTTGATACTGATGTGCTGACTCTCCCTGTCATATCCGTGCACATTCAGATGAATAACAATATATTGACATAAGAACCGGGCATCACTCACACACATGGGTACCAGTTCCAGCAGGTGAGTTTATTGGCAGGAGACAAACCCCTGCTGTTCCTCCCACTTGAAATAAATGCAGCAAAATAGTCAAAGAGCGTGAAGTTAGGGGCGTTTCTAGCACAAAAAGCCTTGAGTTCACTCAGCCCAGGCAGGGAGGGGAAATGTTGCTAAATAACCCGCATTTTTCAATCCAAACAGCACTAATTGTGCCCACCCACCACCCGGTACCAGTTCTCCCATAGCCATCAGGGCACGGAAACCTGTCTGCTCCAAACACAGGGATCATGGCAAAACCCTGAGCTCACATGTGAGAACCGTGACCTGTCTGCACATCATCCATGGATAGAGACATGGGTCACACATCGCTCCTTCCTGCTGCACCCCCCCAGTGCCAACACATTGCCACCCCCCAACCTCCTTCCAGCTTTGTAACCTCCTCCCTACGAAACCCTCTTCCCCAGGTATAAATGGCCAACCTGGTACTGCCGTGCCCTGGAGAGAAACAGAGCATGAAACCAACCCTTAAGGTTCTTCTTCTTTCCTCCTAGGGCACATTGAGAAAGCAGAACTAATTTGGGTAATTTACAGGGGGAAGGGGAAAAAAAAAAAAAAAAAAAAAA